CCAAGTGACACATTCACACAAATTCGAATGGCAGATTGCTCCACAGTGAACAAGATAGTAATGAATGATAATAAAATATTATTATTATTTCTAATAATATTAGTATATCTTGAGTTTTTTTTATTATTATTCTATTTTTAGATGGGCACCGCGTGACAAGCCACCTTCTTCCTTCCCTGCATAGCTATAACAAACATTTATGATGGGGGTACCACCTCCTTGCATCCCAACTATACTAGCGCTCCATAGTGGTTGCATCCTACGCGTCGTTGCCAAATATTTACATTGTATGGGCTATTTGTCTATTCTATAATCAATGTACGCGATATTTATGCATTATATTCTGAATACTATAGAAAGGTTAGAAAATACCTATTAGTAAAAGTATATTTTCATTACTATATCTATATATTTTTCATGCATTTATTGTATTAATTTMAAAGAGAATATTTTACTAACATTTTAATAATTTATCTAATAAGTATGTTATTTATCTAAAATGTAATTAAGCTATACTTCATGTTTTTTACATGGGTAAAACACCCATTGCTTAAATTTGTGTTTAATTTTTTTACTCAAATTATTATTATTTTTTCGATGACTTGCTCATCTTTATATGCTGACTTAGATTTGTGTAGTCTATTTGTCAATAACTATTATGATGGGTCTAATTGAATCATTTTTTCTTAGATTCTTGCCTGTCAATTTGTGTGGACGCCTATTTACAAAACTATGGAGCAAATTCCTTACTGTTTGGGTCAAGCGTTATGGAACTCCGTTTACTTTTTCAAAAATCATTTCGCTGTATTCATGGAACGAGTCATAATGTTTTTTAATGAAAATCTCACTGTGGAAAATCTGTTTTTCGCGTGGAAAGCGATTCGCCTTGTGTTTGAAAAATATCAAAAGCAAATAACCCATCTAAGCGTCGACGACTTGTTGCGTCACTTGGTACAAAACATCGCGGTGGACGAAAGCGTGAAGTTCGTGTTGCGCGGCCAGCGCATGATAAATTTGCTGRACAGTGTACATGGATGTGCGCCGAAGAAACCGATTAGAAAATCTCTGGTTGAATATTGCTTGAACCGCGTCCTGGTGGAGGCGAACAAACTGTCGGCAAAACACGATGATACGATCACCGAACTGACAAGGCTCGGTGAGACGCGGACTTGGGAAGTGGACAAGGAGTTTTGCAAGTGTTACGGGCTTGAGAAGTGTGACATGTACCAGTACGCACTGTGGGCCATCGGCGAGGTTGGCAAGGACGCGGCTGCTCTGTTGGCCGAATACGAGGAGCACGCGTCTCGCCCGGAAAACATGTTTGACGACGAAATGGTTGTCAACGAGGGCGATGGCTCTAATTTGTCGACCAAAGGATACACTTTTGTAGGGCCATGTGGCATCTTGGACTTAGAATTATGCTTGCGGTTTGCAAAAAACATCAATCCGCAGCCACATATGTACCTCGATCATGAACTCGTGCAGCCCGAGCCCAGCATGTCCTTGTTGTTCGGGGTTTCCGCTTATTCGATCAATATCGTGTTATTTGGAATTGACCTGATCAACGGCGTGCCCAAGATGAGCATCTGCTTCTTCGAGAAACAACTTGATTCGGGCTCCTCCATCGCCGACCACAAATGTTTTAAGAAATTACAAGTGGCTTAAGCGTGATTAATTATGAAGTAGGAGTGCTTAACCCTGGTCAACGGCGTCATAATCGCTGTCAAATTGTGTATATCTGCCGAACTGTGCTCTCACACTCTCCCCTCTTCCATTGTGTAGCGGTCTCGTCGTATTACTGGATGTTAATGTCTCTTTGAAATATAATTTTTAATTTTAGTGAATTTTAATAATAATTTTGTTTGCATACAATAAATTAATGGTGCTATAAATTTTAATTAAYTGTGAATATAATAAATGCTTATKAAAAATGTGTCGTGCCGTGTACTTCCGTTTTGAATGCTGATATTGAACGAAATAAAATGGAGAATCAAAATCAATTCAGGCAAGTACTTTCACATCCCTTTCACTTTAAGAAAAGTTGTTCTACCGGTTATCTATTTTCAAAACAATCAAATTCAAACTACAACTCAACCAATTACTTAGGTCTAATTTTAGACAAGCGTTTAATCTGGGGCCCACACCGAAAGTATAAAAGAAAAGTTCTTAATCCTAGACTTCATCTATTACGACTTATTCTCAACTCCAAACTCTCAATTGACAATAAGCTATTAATTTACAAATCTATTTTAAAATCTATTTAGTCCTATGGAATCCAAGATCCAAATATGTGGATGTGCTGCCTTCCCAAATACGGACCCTACAAGCCTTCCAATCTATTTCTCTTCGCCAAATAACATCTGCGCCATGGTATGTTTCTAATCTTTCACTACATAAAGATCTTAAAATTGAAACAGTCTTTWCTACAGCTAAAAATTGCTATAAAAATTCCAAACCAAAAAAGTTCACCACATAAGTCCATTAATCTCTAATTTAGCCAGTGAAGTCATGCTAAATAACCTCCCACGTCGATTAAAAAGACACTGATGTCGAGTTCTCTTGAATCCCGATCTGTATTAATTGAAAAAAATAACTTCTCTCTTCCAAGTTTGAGGGCTTCCTTACTGGTGGACCTCCTTCCTCACGCCATTTCATGTTGTGTTTATCGTTTCTTAACTATCAAACTTACTTATTGTATTGTATATAAATATTATAGATTGTAAATACTCTTGTATAAAAAAAAATTAAAAACTAATAATTAATAATTTTTATTATAATAATTTTGCCTAAAAGTCGCTCCATGATGTCCTTTTTAATTTAAAAAAAACCCCGCATGACGTTTGGATAAGTCGTTTTGGAGCCAACTCATAACAAAGATTTCAATTTTCGCTTTTATATTTAAGTCAAACAATATAAATTAATAGGCACCTAAAATTTCAACTCATACCGGCGGGGCGATAACGAAAAACCAGAGATTCTCCCCACTTGATTGTCAGCTGAGTCATTTATTTTTATATATTTACAATAAACAAACTGGTAAGGCGTGATCGACACATACTGAGACTAGTTTGGGCTACACCCTACCAAAAAGAGCTACCGCCGCCGTCTCAATTTATCTGGCAACGACTGGACTTACTTATAATTTGAATTTTTTGTGTGTGCCCCCCTCACGTAATAAAATTTTTAACACGCTCCTGAATGGCGGGCTATAGCCTATAGCAGGGATGGCCTCAACGAGTTTCGCGAGCTACATGCAGCTTCCGCGGGTGAGTTTCGCGTGACTCTTGAAATCAAGCTTAGAGTAAAATTAATTTATATAATATAAGAAGCACCTCTCAAATTTAAAATCCCATTTCTTTGTGTACCTATCTGAACGTAAATGCTCTATGTCGTGTAAAAAATGAATGTTCCTTTATTTGTTAGGTATAAAGTTAAAAATGTGGTTTCATTTTATAAATATATCTACCTATCGGGGCGATTGTAAACTCTCCCGATGGTAAACTCTCCTGATGGTAAACTCTCCCGGGTTTATTCCTGTACTACCTAACGGAAATATGTAAACTCTCCCAGGTCTATTCCTGTATTACCTGATGGAAACATGTAAACTCTCCMAGGTCTAGTAAAAATCATAAAATAAATTTAATATACATTTAAGTTGCGTTTAAAAATAGTCGATCATATATAATAACAATAATAATAATAACAATATAAATTAATGTCTTTAGATGCTATGAGTTTAATATTATAGTAAAAATTGAAAATACAATAAAAATTAATTTTCTAAAAATCTAATATACATTTAAGTTTTTTTTTTAAATAGTCAATAATAATAATAATAATGATATAAGTTACAAATACAAAATAAACGTAAAAATGTTAAAAWTATTGTTCTTGATAATAAGAACATACAGATTTTAAAAAAGTTAGGGAATCTATTTATTTTTTTTCTAAAAAAATGTTTTAACATTTAAAACAACTCGGGAGAGTTAACATACTTCCTACAGGTMACTATAAAGTTAACCCGGGAGAGTTTACACATTTACTCTAGGTATWCATAATTTTGACCCAAGAGAGTTTACACATTTACTTCAGGTWAACATAATATTAACTCGGGAGAGTTTACCACTGCCCGCCTATTCGTATCTTAATAATGTGAATCACTTCAAAATAGCTTCATAAATTTGCAGCTCCCAAAATAAAGGTTAGTGACCATCCCTATWGTGGTCTATAKGTTCTTGTTACCTATTACTATTAAAAAAAAGCTATTAGTGATGTTCTGATTAACTAATATAACAAATAGGTATGTCAGTGTTTTATTAAATTAAGAAGTAAATAATAAATTGGTATCTACGTGTAATATAATAATATTGTAGTTACGAATTAAAAAAATAATTACATTGAAAATAAACTTTATAGGTAGATTGTATATTTCAAATTTTGAAATAAATGTTTAAAATAAAAGAATATGTTAGGTTATCCGTAAATTGTCGATTATAGCACAACAATTAATTAAATAATGCATTTTAATCACCTCCCTCCTACAGTGTCCATATTTCATCACGGACGATTTTCATATACGCTACTGCCCTTGGTTGCGCAAATAAGTTATGCTCTGCTCCTGCGCTCGATGCTCGACATCGTAACAGCCAACAGGTACCATATTTACAATTTTGTTTGAAGTTTGTATATTATCTATTTGAATGACTTATATAATTATTTTACGTGGTAATGGGAATTTTCATTTGAARCTATAGATTCTGAGTCGAGCAATGAATTGATTTTGTTTTTTGTTGTAGCCTGCAAGTAATTAAAAATAACTGCATGTGGACTTGAAATTGTCATCAAAAATACCACAATTTTCTAGCCATGGGATAATATTTTCAAAATATTTTTTTCTCATTTTGTGATATTTATAGATATTTGAAATTTTCTTCTTTTTTTA